GTGCACAGCAAGTCGGCGCTTGATTCACACATCGCCCACTTGGTCGACCAGGTCACCGGCCTCCGACAACTGGCCAGTCGACATCTTCACGCCTGGACGCTGGCCGTCGGTGGTCAGGGCCATGCTGCTCGGCTGTTGGAGGAGTGCCAGACTCGCCTCGCATCTCTTGAAGCGCAACTGGCCAGCCACTGTTTCCCTTTAGCTCCACGCACGCCTCGCCCGGCAACCGAGCCGCCTGACAACCAAACAGAGTGCTCGAACGGAGAGGCAAGAGGTCGTCGCGAAGAGGATGAGAACAAGGACGAGGAAGACACTGACGGTCTGATTAAAGTGGACGCTGGCAAACGTTATCAGTCCATGCTGTCTTGGCTCGACGAGTTTGCTGACACCTTGGACACCCTTCAAGCCGGCCCATATCAACAACTCCTCGAGACAACACAACTGCTCAGCGCTCCGGTCTCGATCGGCCGGTTGCCCGGCTCACAGGCGGCTTCGGCCAACCATTGTCTGGCCGAGTTGAGGACGCGACTGATCCGCCTGCATAAACATGTCGGCCTGCTACGAGCCAGCGTCGATTCTGCCTTGGCCGAGCATACAGTCGCCGAAGAAGCTACCGCAGAACTCACCGTCTGGCTCTCAAAGACGGCCGATCGTCTTTCCAGCCTGACAGAGCCCTTGGTCTCTCCACAGCTGCCGGCACTTGCTGATCAGTTAGTCAGCTTGTCTGGTGCCGCCTTGAGAGCGTCTTCCTCCTTGACACCGCAGGCTGTCGGAGAGGCGGGACAGTTGCCACAGGATCCGATTGCGTCAGCTGCGCTAACCGCCATGCTGAATGGTCTGGATGCAATAATTGGCCAACGTCGAGGTCGAATACAGGCCCTAAAGGTGACGACATACATTTAATGGTCTTAGAAGGTACAGCAACATTAAGTATAGCTACATTTTGGGGCTCTTCATCAATCCATCCGTCTACTTTCAGGTGGAAAGCCCAGACGCATATCCTTACTTCATGTGCTACCATGTTTTGCCAAGTTAAATTATGTCGTATTTAGTTAACTTACTTTTAGCGACTTGGTTGTGTCGTCAGGGCTACATGGATGGATCTGCAATTTGCGGATTATGAGATATAAGGATTGGGAGTTGTAACTTCGTGCTAAGAATGGCAAGATTTTTCAACTCCACGGTTCTATACTAGAATCTATGCTAAAGAACAATGCACGGGGTGCGTTCATCTAGTCGCTCTTGACAACACGACCAAGTTGCGAAGATGACGTCTAACGGCTAAAGGAGGCTGCGACCAAATTAAAGATTTTTATAATTTTATTTTTTATGCATTATTTGCCTAAATCCTATCAAATCAACCGGATACTCATCATATTGTCTATTTTACCTCTTTCGAACTTGGTAAATTTGCCTGAAAGTGCATCAGAGCCGAATAAGAATGAACCCCTTATTACTTGCTGTTTCCAAACTGCTTTTGATCCCGATTCTACAACTTGTTAGTACTTTACATTTTCTTGCTTGTTTGATGCATTGCTGGCATTTTTCTCAATAATCTTGTGTACGCGTAACTGCTGTTTTTTTGTTTATACTTATCACTTGAACGCAGAAGAAGGAGAAGAGATTTTATTCTTCTCCTAACGTAAAATTAATAGCCTTTTTGACATGCAAATTGTTACTAAAACTATATTTTTTACTTTTGGTACATTTTATGTTTACTTTATACCTAAACCATTAATTTAATCGTCATTCGCAGGAATAGATTTAAAAATATTTTTTACTGAAATGCCAAGAAAAGTTAATAAATATACGCCTTTATAATTTATTTAGATTAAGCACATTCGAAACTACTTATAAATCTTGAATAAGAGCTGTATTTACCCTAGTTTGAAATTATCAGTCCTTCATCACCTAATACGACCTAGGAATGGTTCGAAACAAACTTAATATAAATATAAGTAATGCCAAACATTATATGGAAGTTTAACATACTGATTGCATGTTGAATTTATACTCTGAACTACTCGCGTTTGATTCATGTTTGGGGTGCTGATGAGACTCAGGTGAAGTACAGATTGAAGTTCCGCCTGGATGAGAATGCCTTCTGGGAGGCAAGTCTAAGTGAGATTCAATGGCATCATGAGGCATACTCATGTTTTTGTGGGAAAATTCAACTGTGGCAACATTTTTATAAGATACTTATACAAAATAACAGTTAAGCAACCACACTTTTTGAATGATGCGAATCAAGGTTGGAAATAAATTTTTTTTAAATACAACACCAATTTGTGAGGAACTACATAACCTAAAAACGAATTTACCTCATGAAGAGATGATGATATAT